CCCACCGCAAGTCTTGCCCAACGGCTATGTCTACAGCTCTAAGGTTCGCTTGCATTTTGCAAGTACTTAATGTTCTTGGCTATTTAGTCTTGAAATATTCTTCTTTAACATGTTTTGGCAGCAGGTTCTTGAAGAAATGGCAAGGAAGAATGATGGTAAGATTACTTGCCCAAGGACAGACTTGTTAATTAAGTTGATCTATTGGCAGTAAAACCAGTACTTTTAAATGATTGAAAGCACTTTAATAAAAAATATTTTTGAGTTTCAAAAACACTTGAAATGTTTTCTGCTAAAGCACTTGTTATGTGCTTTTTGCTGGAAGTACTTCAAGTGCTTTACATAATCAATTTGTATTTTTACTAAATTTGGTTTCAAAAACATTTTATTTAAACATTTGCCCTAAAGTTTGTTTTGGTTTGAGAGATTATTATTAAAAAAAGACTTAGGGAAAAGACTTGGAATTCCGGATCCATCCTTAAATTCAATACTACCTTATCCTCAAATTCAATGCTACGTAACGCTTTAAATCAAAGAAATAACCCTAAAATTTATAAAAGGAAAAATCTTGCTAGAAGTGGTTTTAGACTTACTCCAACTTTTAGAGTTAAACTCAAATTTTAAGTTTTAAATTTACTCCAATTTACTTTAACTCTTGTGCCAAAAATAAGTTTTGGATTCAAAACACCCTTTTAGGATAAATTTCAGGTAGAAATTGAGATTGGGTTAGTAGGCTAATGCCTGATTTAGTACTGAGGTGATTTTAAAAAAAGTGGGTATCAAAACAAGCTGTCAGCTTTTTGTGTTTGGTAAACATTCAACTTCAGTTTTTTTTCACAGTTTTGAATGAAAAAAAAAAACCAAAAATACAAAGCTGCAAAACCCAGCTTTGAAAAACCGATTTTTTTTTCACATATGTTTTATATAAAAGTTTACCAAACACAATAATACTGTTTTTTTTCTTTCAAAAACACTTTTACAAAAAAGTTTATCAAACACTCTGCTGCTTTATTTCACAGTTGTTTATTTTCACAACACAACAGAACAAATTTTTTTTAAAGCATGACAATATCAAACCAGCCCTAAATCCACTAATAAGGGTGAACATGCCCAAAAATTTGGCCAGACTCAAGGAGTGACGCACCCAAAAAACTTGGCTAGACGCAAGGAGTGACGCACCCAAAAAACTTGGCTAGACGCAAGGAGTGACGCACCCAAAAAAACTTGGCTAGACGCAAGGAGTGACGTGCCCAACACCTCACACTTTCTCAAAACAGACAGCCCTAGGTCCACCCACATGGGCATGTCATCAGTAGTTATGAGGCTGTCAGCCGCCCATGTGCAATCCCAATTGCATTATTTCGATCCGACAACATAGATTATTGGACAGTTACCAACAGTCCTGATTTAAACGTATTTAATTTTAAATTTCATAAATCTATTAAATTCAACCGTTGTGATCAAATATGATTAAAATCTAATAAAAAAAATCTAACAGTCTAAAATTAAATCAACAGCTAAGTGCAACAATTTCTTTCAAGAAATTGGTCGGTTTAGTGATTTTTCATTATATATTGGAATCTAAATATTTTTAAATTAAAATGTTGATAAAATTAAATTGAGATAGTTTACATAATTTTTATTTTTAAAATAGTTATTTAATGGACATAATTTAGCCTAATTCATTCCTCAATAATCTCAGCCTAAAAATTTAACCAGAAGAATTGGATCCGAAAAACTCTTTTTGGATTAAAACCTAAATGGTTTTAAATTTTTTGGGTTAAAAATTTGAGGTTTTAGCCCAAAAATTGGAGATTTGCGAATAGCAAATTTAGTACCAAATTCTTACTAACCTATTGTATTGTTTAACCAACCTATTTCTTTAATATAAGTGTATTAAGAATCAATTATATAAAATTTGGACTACTGCACAGAAAGATGTTTTGTGAATATGTGTTGTACAATAAACTTGAATTACATCAGTTGTGCCTCTGGATAGGGTGTTGAATTGTTTCTCATACATTCTAAGTTCGAAATTCATTTTCTCCAAATTATATAAAAATTAAAATAAAATTAGATCAGTTGTAAAAAAAATGTTGCATGTGTGCAATTTTACCACTCGTTTAGATGAGTGACTTTAAATTGTTTTGTATAGACTAGATTTGCAAACTAAATGATATGTCATTAAGAAAAAAATAAGCATATTAATCAACACTTAAATAATAATTTAATCATCAGCTTTTATGTGTTTACAAAATTTTGTCTTTCTAACATCCTTTATGAAATCTTAATTGGCATAATGAACTCTTAATTTATTTCCTATTTCACACACTTGTTTTGGATCTGATTCGTCCCACAATAATCCCAATTGGTGAGAAAGGAAAATAATTTATTTATTTATGTATTAGAAAGAGTTTCAAAAGAAAAACATTTTTTTTTACACACTGATAGCTTATTTGATGTAACAAGTGATATGTACATTTTATATCAAATTGTCAGTTAATAAGAATCTAATTAAATGTTGATTATATGTATCATTTGTTACAATGATTATATGCATCATTTGTTGCATCATGAATTTACCCAAGGATCTGCTGTTTCGAAGTGAGTGTCTCCTTACAATGTCTCTGGCTAATATTACTACACGTGTCTTTACACCTACCAAAGTATTCACTCCGTTAAATACTATATCAAAGTATAATAAAAATAAAATAGAAGATTAATTTGATAAGGTCCTTATGCCTTTAAAAGTCTAAAGGCATTAAATTTCACCGTGTCGTCTTCCTCCTTATTTCTTCAGTCCTCCGTCACCGCTCGTCTTGATCTCAGCGAGCAATCTTCTCTCCTTGTCTTCCAGTCTGCCGCCGCCACGACCGCCACCGTACTACCAAAAAACGAACCTCTTTTCCATGTCTCATTACTAGTGTTCTAAAAATCGGCCTTGACGCTACAAGGTGGTCAGCCGCTCCGATTAGAAAAATCGGCAAGAGGATTAGGTGGGTGCGGAGGGCGGTCTGGGCGTTTTAGACTTTTTGTCATTGCAGGGAGCTGCGTTCTTGTTCTGGTTCCGCCTTTTGCGTTTCAAAGTTTCGAATTCCATATAAGAAGATGAAGGGAAGAAGAAGATAGAAATTATTTTCTCTCTGTTCCCATTCCCCCACGTGATAGACATGACCCTCGGTCCACTCCACTCCACTTTTTGTTTTATTTTTTTTAAATGAACTTGTAATCAATTGCAGGTACAGACAACATACATTGAATATTGGTGTGGTGTGCCCCACATCCCTTTTTGGTGCAGTGCGCCCCACCCTCCTTTTTACGGATGGAATTAACTTGGCTTCAGTAGCTTCTCTGGCTTAAACCCAATTCTGTATGAACACGTGTCCAAGTTTTGATTAAAAAAATTAAAACTTAAACACATGTCCACCCGGAATTAGGTGTAAGCAGAAGTGGCTTCTGAAAATTCAGCAGCCTAGTCATGTTTTTTACGGATTACAAACCACAACATATTACACCTTTGCTTTTTTTTTTTTTATAAGTTCACTATATAATAAATAATCTTTAAAAAATATTTATTAAGTAATACATACTTATTATCATATCCACTTTCATCTTATACCATCTAATTCATTAAAAAAAAAAGAAAAAATCCTATCTATTGGAGACACATGGTTGGATACTCTTTTTGCATTTTATCATTATTTGATTATTTTATTCATGAATTTCATAAAAGTATAATTTTTTTGTAAGTGTCAATATGCATTTATTTACAAGATATACATGAAATTTATCTAAATCCGCCTAGGCACCCACCTAGATTCCGCCTAACCGTCTAAGCACTAGGCATCAGCCCGTAGCCCAACTAGCACCTAATGTTTTTTAGAACCTTATTCATTACATAGCCTGGACTCGATCGCTCAAGCAACATCATAGAAGTCAGCTATCGTCGGACTTGATACGGGGTGTTCTACTCTGAATCTCTTGCAAGCTTCTCTATATTTGGTAATCATTTGTCTGAGAGGCCAAAACGAGAGACTTCTAGAGTTTGGGTGTAAACGGATGCAGATAAAATTCATTCTTGCCACATTATTGGATTCAATCTAAACTTACAGGTTCCAACGTCTCAAACACGGGAACTAGTGTTTGGATCAAGATGAGACCGCCGCGGACTGAAAATATAAGGAGGATACCACTCGATCAAATTAATGGGTTTAGATTTTAAAAGGCAGGACTTTTATGAAATTAATCTCTTTTTTTTATATAATTATACTTTGATATAGTATTTAACGGTATGAAATTAATCTTTTTTTTTAATTATACTTTGATGTGAATGCTCTGGTATCTCTAAAAAGACACATGTAGTAATATTAGCTACAAGACATGGAAGGAGACACTCATTCCGAAACAGCAGATCCTTGGCCTATCAATTTAGAAAGAAAAAAAAATTGAATTTGTCACGTCATGAATTTAGAAAGAAAAAAAAAATTGGGTAATCAATTCGGACGAGGATTGTCTGCCATTCACTTCTGGTGCCCTCTTATTTGTGTGATCACGGTTAAACCATGTCAATATTTTATATTACTATTTATTTTTATCTTATTATATCTATAAAAAAACAATATAAATGTTAATGTAGCTTAATCATGACTACACAAAACAGGAGGGCACGAGAAGAGCACCGGAAGTGGAGGGCTGACAATCTTTGTCCAATCAATTCTCAACAACACCAAGTCCATATTATTTTTTGCACAAGTTTTTTTATTTGTTTTTTGCCATCTCATATTATTTATAATTAAAACTAACTTGCAATAATGAAATAGAAAATAAATAAAATTTGAAGTCAATACTTTATATAAAAGGAAAATAAATGAAAAAAACTTGAAAATTTTGAAATTTAACGATAACGATAAAATAAATGGTAGTGAATAGTACCAGAATTAACTTTTTAAAGTAAAAGTATGATTTTTTTGTTAAAGTGAACGGTGTGCAGAACTTCTCTACTTAAACGTCAATTCGGTTCTAGAATTTTGAGATCTCAAATTTTGGTTTCTAAGGGAACTTGCAAATTTCCAGAGTTGTAGCTGCAAGATTCAGTTTCTGCCCAAAAAACGGAAAAAGGTTTGAGCTATGGCTAACTCCGAAATAGCTGTAGTCATTAAGTATCCGGAAGAGAAAGCTGAAGCGACTTTACCTGCCCAGAACCCGAAAGAGAAAGCTGAAGCTACTTCACTTGCCGAGAACCCGAAAGAGAAAGTTACAAGGTTAGATGTTTTTTAAATCTCTGAAGTCTGACATGTGAATCGTATTCAGAAATCACCGGGGCAGAATAAACTTTGTATCTAAATATGTAATTATACCAACAAAGAAAAATCTAAATATCCAATAGGCCAATTTCACATGTTTAAGCATATTCAATGACATAAAAGGCTTCTATCTGATAGGCACATTAATATATATACATTGCCTTGTGTTTTGTCCAGTAATAATCCTGATTCAAGTTCCAAGGACATAAGGGAAGAATCTGCCGTGGAAGATAACCATGAATCGAACATATTCTCACCGAAGGTGGACAAGAATCCTAAAAAGGAGTCTTTCCTTCAAAATTACTGGAAAAAGATATTTGTAGCATCATGTTTGTGTGGTGTTTTAGTGGATCCATTATTCCTCTACGTGCCGTTAATCAAGGATGATGTAAAGTGCCTGATTTTGGATCAGAAGTTGAAGATAGCCGCTGTTATTTTAAGATCAGTCACCGATCTTTTCTATATATTGGACATTATATTTCGGATTTATGGATCTGAGAACTATTCGGATTTTATCAAGCAACTTCTTACACCACGCAAGCTTCCACGTTCAAGACTTATCCGGAGATCTTGTGTGCCAACGATAGCCAAGGCAATATGGGGGTCAAATGATATCTTAATCGACATTTTAGCCATTCTTCCCCTTCCACAGGTAACTTAGAGAAGCCCCTCTCCTCTTGTTGGAGTTAATTGATTTCCTAATCTCTCTATTTGTTTACTTGCAGCGGGCTTTTCATGTTAGGATATTTTTTCATTATTAAACCGTGAAAAATTATTTTCTCCATGTTAGGAATATATAGCCAGTCATGCTTCTCTCAAAAACACTTTTATCTTAGATATAATTAGATATAAGTCCATTTATGGACTTAAAAGTCATTATATTTTTAAACTTGTGCTTTGTAATAAGACCCATAAATCAGAACCGTTAAGGAACTAAGACAAACAAAAAATTAGAGTTCACTAACAAACCAAATATACAAATCAGGTTAATTCACACAATAACTCTATGCAAAACAAATTCACACAATAACTCTATGCAAAACAAAAAAGGTTTTTATCACAAATGATCTTTAAAATTGACTATCACCATCAAGATAGTCATTGAAATTGAAAATCAATCAATGTAGTCCTTAAAAATAGGTGTCGCAAATTAATATAGTCATTTCATCACAATTCTATTAAAAAAATCAGTTAAGTGTTGATGTGGCACATAAATGGCCCCATAAGTCTTTTTTTTCTTACAAATGGTTCTTGAAATTGATCATTGACATCAAAATTGTCCCTGAAATTGATCCACAACGTCAACATGGTCCTTGAAATTGATCCACAACATCAACATGGTCCTTGAAATTGAAATTTGATCAATGTAGTCCCTCAAGTAAGTGTCTCAAATCAATGTAGTTCTTCCGTCACAATTTTGTCAAAAATTTTATTATGTGCTAATGTGACACATAAATGGGTCACACAAGTCTAATTAAATTTTAAAAAAATACAAAATAAGCTTAATAATTTAATAGTTAATAAAAAAATTGTCAATCAAAAACCCAATCATGCAATCACCTTCGATCTCAGTTCACATTTCTATACCTCCTTCACTCTCTGTTCTCACTAAAAAAAAAAATGTCCCAATGCACCAATCTTTACACACTTCGACACCCTTCACCAAATTGAACCTGGATCGAGATCACCTTTGATGACGGCTTGGCCCATTAGCAATGACTTCTGGGACATCATCGTTAACATTTAGGCGATCAACATCCTCACAAACTTAATCTTGGAGAGCTTGTTCGGTGCTTCCCTGGTGGTTTAGTGATGCAAAGAACGACGAGGTTTGCCTTGAGATAATGAGCTTATAACCGAGGTGCATCCATTGTTGGTTGAAAACTATTTCCACACCATTTTTTAGGCATTGGTTAAGCCTTGTGTGTTTGAGAATTTCTGGAAGTAAGCTATCTTCGGAGTAGGCCCTACCATAAGAGAAAAAAAAATTCCATTGTGCAAAAAGGTATTTAGACATTCATCAGCACAAAACAAATTTTTTTATAGTATTGTGATTGAAGGATCATATTAATTTGTGACACCTATTTTCAATTTTAGGGATCATATTGATGGTGTGGGTGAATTTTAGGAACAATCTTAATGGTGTGGGTCAATTTCAGGGACTATTTGTGATAAAAACCTGTACATCTTGTGAGGTCCATTTATGTGCCAAATCAACACTTAACGGATTTTTAAACAGAATTATGACGGAATGACCACATTTATTTGCAACATCTATTTTCAGGGACTACATTGATTGATTTTTAATTTCAGAGACCATCTTGATGGTGAAGGTCAATTTCACGAATCATTTGTGATTAAACCCGGTCCAATCTTTGAAATTTGGCATTTCTAATAAATCAAATCTTCAGAAAGTAGCCCTCTACCACAGTGGTGGAGAGGAGTGTTGCCTTTGCACCCAAATTGGGTTTGAACCCGGTCGGCTATCTAATTTAACAAATCTGTTGTATGACAAAAATAATAAAAAAATAAATAAAATCTTCAAGTTAATCCAAACGGTAACGTTCCAAGTTGGAGCCGGAATTAAAGACGATGGGCATTCAAAAGAAGAGAGGTGAGAAAAACCGTTTCATTAGAGTGGCACTTGAGAGAAAAACTTGTGTAGAGCTTAACTTGCAGCTAGGCGATGCTACGTAGCACTATCATCTACTCAAAACTTGCCACATGATAAGCTTTAAATATAAATTTTTTTCCCATAATTTTATACTTAAAGTTTTCATAATAAATAATTATTTCTAAATAATATCTAATTCATCTGATTTTCTATAATTTTCCTTTCTTTCTCCTTCTCCTTCTCCTTTTATTCTTGCCCTTTTTTAGCTCAAGTTTTCTTCTCAGCTTGTTCCACTTCTTTTCATACCTTTCTTCAGAAATATATGCAGCAATGGGGAAAAAAATTCATTTTATAATCACAGAAACCATTAACTGTGTTGTGATTGAGAAAATCAACTACCCTACAAAAAAACATCGCCTACATACATTTTGCAGTGTTCTCAAAATTGGCCTAGGCGGGCCGCCTAGGGGATGGAAGGCAGCCAACCGCCGCGCTTAACTCTTAATCGGCTACAAAATCAGAAAGTAGATTAGGCGAGCGTTGGACGGGATTAGGCAGGACTAGGCGGAGATAAGCAAGTCTGGGCAGGGCTGGGCGGGGTTGGGTGAAGACTAATCGGGCTTATATGAAGACGCCAGAATCTGCAATTTTTTTTGTTGTAGAGACGGCTCTGCGAAGAAGAAGAAGACTGTTCCCAGACTGTTCCTTTTTGCACGATTCAATTAAGATGGTCCCACCATCTTTTATGCTGCAACATTTTCTTTGAAATGGTCCCCACCATTTCTTATACTTTTCAATGTTTTCATTACTTATTTTTTATTTTTTATTACTTTTCATTCTTTTTTTATTTTTTATTGCAACTCTTTTCCATTACTTTTCATTCTTTTTTTTTTAATTTTTTTGTTGTAATGTTTTATTATTATTTTTAAAGATCATACCATATTTTTATTATGTACCTAAAAATTCTTATCCTTGAATTTCATTCAATTATAATTTTTTGTAAGTGTCAATATGCACTTATTTACAAGATATACAAGAAATTTACCTAAATCCGCCTAAGTGCCCGCCTAGATCCCGCCTAGGCACCTAGGCGCTAGGCGCTAGCCCGCCACCCGACTAGCGCCTAACGTTTTTTAGAACCTTGATATTTTGTTATCTTCTTATGTGGTTTTAATTTTTGTACATTATATTATGAGAATTTTTTGTTTGAAAATGGTAGTTTCGACTTTTATCATCATGGTTGGATATTAGAGCAGTTCCACCGGGGAACCTTTAGGCCAGCACCAAGCCAAATTATTGGCCCGACACCTAGCCAATCCACTCCGGCAGAGCAGATAGGCTGGCACCCAGCCCAAGCTGGTCTCTAGGCCGGCTCAGAATGTGCTGAGCCTTTGCCCGGCCTACATGATGCCAGGCGATACCGCCACGCCTCCTTGAGCTGAATTCGAAGCTCTCTGCTTTCCTTGCACCACCACCCGAACTCGAGCTTCCATATCCAAAGCCCTCCCTCTTGGTCTTGGGCTGTTGCTCGGAGCTGTAGCGATTGAATAGATCGGTGACGAAGCAGCTGACATCATGGTCTGAATCGGAGGCGGTGTCGGAGAACCAGTCGCCATTGGAGGAGTTCCGGGGATCGAGAGGATCGACGACAAAGGGTTTGCAGTTTTGGTTGGCGCACCAGAGGGTGAGGGGATCGGGGAGGAGGGTTGGGTGGGATTGCGGGTCGTTGGGTTCGTTTGGTGGTTGCAGCTCGTGGGGTAGAGCCGAACTTGGGTAATCTCACATGGGTTTTGGCGGTTTGAAGAGAAGAAAAAGAAGGGAAAAAAAAGTGGTGAAACTGTGCTTGACAACACAGTTGGAAAATCAGGGAAGAAAAAGAAGAATGGAGTCCAGAGAGTACTTTCATAAAAAATATTATTTTATAATAAAAATTAATAATATTTTAATAAAATTGACTAGACTATTTAGTTTTAGGGGTGAAGATGCATTTAGCATATTACTGTTCATTGAGGTCTATCACTATTTACTGAGTAGATAAATGCGATGGGTGCTAGCGCATTTGTGTTAGGGGTGGAACTGCTCTTAGAGATTCGTGAGTGAATCAAGTCAAGTTCATATGATGAAATCAGCTACCGAATTGAGGGGAAAAAAAAAGGATAAAATGGTTGCATTCTAATTTCCATGATATGAAAAGTTAGACAAGGTGGGTTCCTATTTTTTTTTTTTTTCCAGATTTTTCGAAGAAAATCAACAAAACAAAGGAGGGGGAAGAGAAGACAATACGCGGCTGGCAATCGGACAAGAAAAAGGAGGAGTTGAGGGAAAAATGGGACATTAGATAATTTTAAGGGGCAAGAGAGAGGCAAGGGGCAGCAGGCTGATGAAGGCGGGCCAGTGGGCAAAGCCCAAAAGAAAAAATATATCCTTTGTTGCGGGTTGAGGGTGTACCAAGCCCAATTGGGCTCGGGTTGGGTTCCAAAACACCCCAGCGTGTGCTGGGTGTAGTCGCCGGGGAAGGAGACCGGCGTTGCCGCTTCAGGCGGCTGAGTTTTGGGACGGGGACCTCGATGCAAGCTCGTAGTTCAACGGCGAACCTCTTATGTCTGACGGATAAGGGTATCTCGACGTCCACGAACCAAGAACCCACGGATTCGAAATTGGAATTTCAAATCCCGGTGAGATTCAAAGGAATCTCGGCTACGGAGCTGTCCGAGATTACGGCAGGTCATCGGGGATGGCTGGACGTCAGAAACAGGGGGTGAATCACGGTGGCTGGGATCGGCTTCAGGCGAGGCCCATAATGGTCCATCAACGACGCGTTTTGCGTCGTGCTTCTGGTTCTGGTTCTGGTTCCGGAGACCACGGCAAAGAGGGGGTGCCGCAAGGAGAGAGAGTGGAGAGATTGTTGAATGCATATACACAACCACAATTAAGAATATTCATAACACAACTTGGTATATATATGAAATTAAAACGGCTCAATATGCTTAATATCTTAATTATTGATTTACAAGTTTATTATTGATGATAATTAGATTTGAGTGTTTGTAATCAATGTACGTTCTCCAGGTAGTAATTCTCATATTCTTTTCAAATATGAGGGACTTGAGATCTTTGACTACAAGGATGTTTATCATGAACCTTTTTGCTCTGTTACAATATGTGCCACGAGTTCTTCGCATCTACCTTTCATGTAGTGAACTGAAAAAGATTCCTAAAGACGAGATTAAGCAGACACCCATATGGATTAAAGCTATACTGAATTTCTCGATGTACATCATTGCCAGTCACGTAAGTCTCATTATATACTGAACTCCTAAAAGTTTTATTAAAGTTTGCTTAAATAAATTAACATTTAGGTTCTTATTCATTCATTCATTAGTGGGATCTGCTTCAATGGGAATATGAATCCCAGTCGGAAAACAGTTGTGAAGTTGTCTGTTATTTATTTTATATTATTGATCATTTTTCTAATATATGTGGATCTTACGTACATAAGTGGAATCTATGTACTTCTATCAAATAAGTGGTTAGCAAGTGTGATACAAATAAATTTTTTTATCCGATCTAGTAAACTTTATTAAGACAACTTTTTTTATAAGACCTGTTATTTAATTTGTTACTTTAAGTGACGTTGCATTTAATTTTTGTGAATATATATTTTACAGTATTTTCTACAGTCTGATCTAATTAATTAACTTGTTGATTATTTAGGTATTCGGAGCCGTATGGTACTTTTTTGCTATTCAACGAATGATGGAGTGTTGGCATTCTGCATGTCGAAAAGAAGATGGATGTGACAGCAGTAGTTTTGGTTGTCATGACCATCACACATTTAGAAACATTAAAATTCTAAATGATTTATGCCCTATAAATCCGTCAGACGCAAAAATGTTCGATCTTGGCATTTTTACTAGTGTTCTTGAATCCGGCATAACAGGATCAACCAATTATTTTCAAAAGTTCTCAAACTGTTTCTGGTGGGGCTTACGAAATTTGAGGTTGGTACATTTTCTCTTGTTTGTTTAGACATATATATAATGCGGAACTATGGCATCACAAAAAATATAAAAAACACAAGTTTTTACAGAAGTCTTAGATGTGGGGAAGTGGTCTTAAGTATTAATTGACACACCCCGTCCCGAAAGAGGGCATGCTGGCCGTCACGTGAGAGTGACGTAACCATTTGCACATAGAATGCTAGGTTGTAAATAACTGAAATTAGTGGTTTTCGTTGACTCGTATTTTATTATTAAATTGTTTCCGCTTGCGTTATGGTTACGTCACGCTCACGTGACGGCCAGCACGTCCTAGTCTTCGGGTTAGGGTGTGTCATTAATTCTTTAGTGCTCATATGTTTTGCTCATTGAGCTCTTATTGTAATGCAAGTCATATGTTTTGTAATTCCAAGAGGATCTCCATGAATTGCCTTTAATTACTATATATTACCATGTTTCTTAGTCTTCCGGAATTCCCATGCTAGAAAAATGGTTGTAGACTTTCTTACTTGGAATAAATTAAAAGTTAGATTTATAACTTCATTTCATTTTTGCAGTTCCCTCGGTTCAAACCTTGAACCCAGTGTAAATGGATGGGAAAACCTCTTTACGACTTCTATTTCTATAATTGGTTTGCTCCTGTTTTTATATCTCATTGGAAATTTGCAGGTTTGTGCCGAATCTTAATGCTATAATTTTGTCATTTTCCTAATTACATGGATCGTTGGCTGGTTTTAAATTTTAATTAGGAATGATAAATAACTAACTGTTAATTAATCACGTAAAACGCGAGCTGTGAAGTAATGAACTGACCACCTATTTGTTGGTTTGGTTGCCGTGGATAGATGTATATGCAATTTGAAAATGCAAAAAGAGAGGAGCATAACCGCAAGTTGCGACTGACACGAAGGACGGAACAGTTTGGTCCAGAAATAGAGTTGTGGTTATTTAAAAATGGCATTCCGACAAAGTCGCATAAGGAGATGAAGTCGCAGGTCAGTGAAAAGGTACAACAAGCAATTGAAGGGAACAGGGATGTTAATTTGGATAATGTTCTGCCCACTCTTCCCGCTGATTTTCAAAGCCGTATAAAAAAATGTTCGCCCTTGACTAAGCTCAAGCAAGTGAGTTTCCTCGATCCAAGCCTTGGACTTAGTTTAAGCAGTAGCTTTGCCATATGTGACAAGATTTATTCGAAGCATCTTTGATGGGATATGCAAAATGTTTTAAAATTGATGTTTTACATTTTTGGTTTGCCAGAAAACTCTATTGAACAGATGTAAAATATGCATTTTGGCCGAAAAATGTCAATATGCAAATTTACAATTTTTTATAATCTTTTTACACCCACTGCGCATTGAAATGCATCTTATGTACTAATCACAGGTGTTTAGTGGGCTGGATGAAATTGCATTGAAAGAAATGTGTCAGTATCTTAAGCCCAAGAAATTTATGAAGAATGATATCATTATTGAACAGGGTAAACCACTCAAAGAGATGGTCTTCATTATGGATGGACTTGTAGACATTGAAAAGAGAAATTCAAATGGTTCTTGTAATACTTCGCAACGAGGTGCAGGAGAATTATGTGGACAAGATCTTCTTCTACGTGGATCTCGGTCAAATGGGGAGTATGCTCAGGCGTTTGGACAAGATCTTCTATGTGAATATCGGCCAAATCGGGAGCATGCTAAGGCGTTTGGTGATGTTGAAGCCCTCGTTATCATGGCTGAAGACATGGAGAGTGTACGCTCTAGATTTAAACAGCAAATTGATGCTTATGAACGTTATTTACATGTTGATGCTTATGAACGTTATTTACATGTTCACAAATCAGAGCCCAAACGTCAAAAAGTAGGGGGGCGGAAGCGAAGTCATGACATTGAATTAGAGATTAGCCAATCATGTTAGTGCTAGGTGTATGTAATCTGATAGTTTGTTGTATTCGTTTCGGGACCATTTTTGTTCTCCACCATTAACTATGGTAGATGCTCACCTCCTCTTAATAGCTTGCCACATGTCCCACTAACTAACTAGAGTTAACTTTATTATTAAATATATTTGAAAAAAAAATTAATTGAATATTCAACCCGATCCAACCCTGAAAATTGAGAAATACATCGTCCTTCCCATCCCCTTCGACCAAATAGCCACCGCCACCCATGACGCAACCTTGGTGGCGGAGACCAACACCCACCCACCTTGGCAGTGTCGTCGCCCCACCAATTGCAATGTCGTTTTTCACCGACTAGATTCGCCATCATCTTCCTCCTTGAAGAGAAACTTGAAAATAAGTCATGTGATGTGCCTTGCACATGGCTTATTTTGGATAAAAAAAAACTTAATGGAGTTAGGGTGAGATGGCAAATAAATGGTTTTTGAAATTTGATATGACAAATCGCTTAAAATTTTAGTTTATACGACAAATTAAAAAGAGAACTTCTAGACCCACTCCACTAACCTATTTTCCCCTCCACATTATAAGAGCAAATTGTAACTATGATCCCTTAACTATGACTGAATTGTAGCTATAATTACTCAACTAAAAATCTATTAATTTGGTCCTTCAATTTGACAAAAGGTGTAGCATTGGTCCTTCCGTGGTAACATTGTTAAGTTTTTCGCCAGAATACTGGTGTGGTAGGCAAATGGACCCATGATTAATAAAATACTATATGAAAATTTTAAAAATAAAAAATTTTAAAAACTAAAGAAAAGAACTTTCCTTTTATCTCTTTCACCAGTAACAAGGCCGCCAACACCAAACATTGTGCCTAATTCTCTCCTTCCTCCAAACCTTGTACCTAATTTTCTCTTCAAAACCCAATCATAATGGGTCAAGATTCAGATAAATGAAGGGTACCTAAACCCTTCGCAACTTTCTTCCAAATACAAGCAACAGAACAGATCATTTTAATGACAGAATAATAGTATTAGCAAACTCGTCTAACCCACCAATTAAAAGCAAGCTTCCCTCCCCTCCCCCAAAACAAAAGGGAGTACATACCTTGGATTTCTTTAACCTTGACTTGTTCTCGGCGCACCAGGCTAGGGCTGGACCCACGTCCTTATTCTGAAGGGCTTCAATAACCTATTTCGGTTCTTGGAATACATCAATATCAACAAGATCCTGACACATAAGAAACTAATCAAGTTCCCAACATGTATAAACAGAAAATATGGAAAATTCTGCAATCTGCAGTAGCAATAAGAGAAATGGGATTCTAACAGCCAATGGACCTGGAGGAATAAAAGCTGTTATCTCATATTTATTCTACTTACCTTCACTTCCTAACTTCTATACTAAACCATAAAAGATCCAACCGATCAATTATGAAAGCAATAAGCTGCTTTCTTTCATTCATATAGACTTTGTGAGCTACAAAACATTGGACAAACTATAGGATTTCACTTTTGACCAAAAAACACAGAGACTATAATTTAGTCGAATAATTCCTTCACTAATCAGTACGATAATTTCTTTCCATAGTTAGAAATTGTGAAGATGAATCTCCTTTCAAATTGTAAAGTAGGGTAAACAATTGGATGATGAGCACGAAGATAATAACAAAACCGTTTGATTGCCAGATGTATGATAATATTCTCACCCATTCCAAGTTCTTCAATCCGATTAATACATTCAAACTACAATACCTCGTGATATTCAAACCTTCCATGAATTCATAAACATTGGAAAGAACAACACTTATGACAGAGCACACTGCACAAAGAGTCACAGACATGTACTGTAAACAAATCTAGGACCGGAAATCAAAACTACCTGAATATTTCTACTTTCCGCCAGCTTCACTGCGGTGTCATAATAAGACATCCGCAATATGTAGTCCACAAGGATCCGATTCACGCGCGTGTTATTCCATTCAGACAGGCTCTCCACATCTGCCAATTCTAAATGATCAAGCCGAGCCCGGCACCTCCGCGCCTGCAAGTGCTCTGTCCTACTCCCCTTCCAACTTAATCACGAAAAACAAACACCAGTAAGCGTGAAAATTCCAATCACAAATAGCCATATCCAATCACCCAAAGCACAAATACGAACAAAAGATAATCTACTTCAACTCTTAAAGCACGAATATCCAATCCCGATTAAGATCGATGAATTTCAACAGTTTAATAGTCACTGTCAACATATCAAAGCTACTCGAGCTAACAAATCCCAAATTAACCTCTGTTTGGTTGCCTCAAATTCATCGGATACTCCTTTTTTTCCCCTCTCACTCTTCCCCCTTCCAAACAGGACAAAACAATCGAAGCTAGGGTTTACACATTCAGTACCTTTCGTTTTAAACCCTGCAGCCAATCTGCCAGCACTGCACTCTGGCCTTAATTAATTCACCATGATCATATGCCATGAAATAAAATGCTGAAACTTTGGCACAACCTTCTTAACAAACTCACCAAACTCAAATATTCCCCCGTTATATCACTTTATGCCCAAGATTGATTCATATGTCCTACATTAAAAATATAAATCAAAGCATCAAAATCTCACCAAAACGTACCAAAAATAAAATGAAATATATTAATAATATAGAATCGACTCATCTATGAGTTTTTATCAATAATAGGCACCTTTTATAAAATCTTTCAAAAATAACAAAAAGTCTGCTTAAATAGATTTAAATGCCCTCAAAATTAAAACCAAATAAACATAAGGATGTAGTTGGTAGTGTAATGAAAAAAATTCTCAGTTGCGGCCTCTTCATAACTATGTAGATTTTCGAAATGATGTGGGAGAATTTATTGCTGCTTGGACTCAGAAGGTGGAGGGTGTGACTTCACCACTGCTCAAGGAGGTTCTTGCTGCATGTACAGCGGTGGAATTGGGCCAGTGAACTAGGAGTTGAGGCGATTGAATTTGAAGGGGACTCTTCCATTGTTCTTGTTACCATAAACCAGAATGACCGTGATGATAACTCCCATTTTGGTACAGAAATTAACGAGGTGCGTCATTATCTATGATCACTTCCAATTTTGAAGATTTTGCATATACGGAGAGGGGCAAATAGGGTGGCTCATTGATTAGCACGGTTCAGATTGCTTTTGGAGACGGAACGAACATGGTTTGAAGAACCACCCGATATAATTTGTGACATTCTTTTTTAGGATAGAATTCATATTTAATTTTGGTGTGGGAATCTCTTTTTCCCTTCGTCTAGGTTGAAATATTTGGCAAGGTTTTTATCAAGGCCCATGTAATTGCACCCTATCCTCATGTTTACGTACGTATTCCTATTATCTATGAATGAATATGGTACTTTACCTCAACAAAAAGTCAATGAAATTGAGATCAATGAGAATTTGTAGATGCTTGTCTATGATTGATCAATTGCCTAGCTATATAGGAAAACAAAAATAATTTAACAAAAAAAGATCATTTGGGAGGCTTTGATATTTCAGTTGTTGATTGGGAATAATATTGTTGAATGTGAGTTGTTCATAAAAAAAATCATCTAGTCACTTGCATTATATTATCAAATAGGCAATTTTTCCCTTCCGAATGTAATTTGCAACTTATATGGTTGGATGACCATCGATTCTATATTCGGAAAAGTCAGTTATTTTTAAGAATTTTACAGGAGTTTTCATTTGCTTTATGAACACTTTTGCAATTATATTCTTCTAGGAGTAAGAAGAGTTCCAAGTTTGGAGCGGTTGAGTTGCTTCCATACAACTCCCAAAAAAATTCCATTGACCTCCATGTTCAACGAGTTACAAATTAATCAGAAACTAACTTGCACAAGTTTGATATTACCAACTCCCCTGGATGCCTTGCACTTTGAACAACAATGGACAGGAGATCTATTCAAGTGTTTTAGTTTTTTTGTGTAAATGGGTTTTGGATTTTGAGGGTATTTAGGTCTATTCATGTGAGTTTTATGCTATATTTGAAAGTTTTTATAAAAAGTGATATTTATGAAATTGAGTATTAAATTTTGGCTAATGATAAATCATCCCTCATCACTCCCTCTTTGTATATCTCAAAGAATAATACTTAACATGACTTACTGTTTACAAGTTGACCAAGAACTTATGAACAATGAGTCGTTGGCTGCATGAGAGCTAGCTACAACACATCAGGAATTTTGTAAATTTTCTTTTTAAGTAATTGTTTAGCAAATCAACCTACGGACTCTGCTGTATCTTTGAAATTTACCAAAAATAAACGAACGAGAAGAGTGGAGCGAGGGAGGAACACTGCATGGTTACATAAATTTTACGTGAGTTTACAACCATTTGTTATGCTGACATATTTTTCTTTACAAACACATACACAAACACAAACTGAAAACAATAAATCATCGCCTATCGTCATAAGGCTTAATAGAACTCGAACTAGCATCATCACCACCAACATCCACAACGTAAGCATTTGAAGGTAACCCCGGCAAGTAATTAGTCGCTTTGGGCGATCGAAAGAAATTAACCTTTTCTCCTCCTGCAGGATGCTTTGCAATAGTTGACATTACTCCCTCAAGCTCCATGACTACTTCCTTCATTAAGGGCCTTCCGTCCCCACGATCCCTTAAACATATTTCTGCGAGATTGCTCACCTTTTGAACCGTCCCAAAATTTCCCTCGTTGATTATTTCACCATCGACAATTTGATCCAAATGCACGAATAAACCAGATGCTAAATTTATATTTTCCCGAGGCCTATTGGCATCTATTGCCTTTTGACTCGTCAGTAGCTTTACCAAGACAACTCCAAAGCTGTAGACATCACTCTTTTCTGTTATCTCTTGTCTACTATAATACTCAGGATCTAAGTATCCAAATGTCCCTTTCACTACAGTTGATAGGTGATCTCGGTCTTCGGGAACATATACTGACGTTCCAAAGTCTGCAATTTTAGCAGTGTAACTCATATCTAATAATACGTTATTTGTCTTCACTGTTGAAGTTTATGGATTGAGTGTTTAATTTCTGGGTTTAGTTTTGAACTACGAAGAAGATAAAGGAAAACTTGAAACTATCTGTAAAAGGAAAGCTTTATGTTTATATTGATGGAATACGGCTGCTCTGTTCATTGCAGTGCATAAGACCAACATTCCCATTTCATTCCTTTAAGCACTAAATCCAATCTTAACCGTACATAGTAGGTCATATTACAAGCACATATAAGACCTACAAAATTAAATGGATCCAGACCCTACACTTGTCATATAAGACAATACAAAAACAGTTAAGGAAATCTGAAAACAACTTAACTATCAACATTCCCTCTTAAGTTGTTTACTGATTTCACACTAAGGAGATCTCTGAGAAAGCAAAAACGAGCTTTAGGAAGAGCTTAGTGAAAATATCAGCAAGCTGGTCTTCACTCCTACAGTACATGATGTCAATCACATTTTGCTGCAGTGCTTCTCTGATAAAATGGTACCTTCTATTGATGTGTTTCGATTTTTTATGGAAGACAGGATTTTTAGTCATGGCTATAGCTGATGTGTTGTCACACATAAGAGGAGTAGCTTCTGCCTGCATTTCTCCAAAATCCTCTAACACAAATCTCAGCGAAATGGCTTAAGTTGTTGCTTCAGCTGCACTAACATATTCGGTTTCTGCAGTTGAGAGAGCAAGACTGTGTTGCTTCACAGAGGCCCAAGAAAACACACCACTTCCAAATGTGAATGCATATTCGGAAGTGCTCTTCATGTCATCCTCACTCCCACTCCAGTCACTATCACAATATCCTATAAAAACAGCTTTTTTTCTCTTCTCAAACTCAATTCCAAAATCAATGGTCCCTTGTATGTATCTTAGGACCCTTTTGGCAGTTCCAAGATGTTTCTTGGAGTGAGAGTGCATAAATCTTGCCAACAGTGACACAGGAAACATGATGTCAGGCCTAGTGGCAGTTAGATACAGTAGGTTGCCCACAATATGCCTGTAAACTCCTTCATCAGTGGATTCACTTCCATCATTCCTGCAAAGTTTTTCATTTATAGCCAGTGGTGTGCTCACTAGTTTATAGTTCCGCAAACCAAACTTGTCTAGCAGAGATAAAGCATATTTCTTTTGCCTAATAAAGATCCTTTTTTTCACTTTGCAACATCCCCATGCCAAGAAAATGGTGCACCAGTCCCAAATCTGTCATTTCATACCTGTTCATCATATCAAACTTGAATTCTAACATCAATTCTTCACTGCTGCTGGTGTAAACTATATCATCCATATAGATTGATATGATTATAGTTTCAGTACCATTTCTTACCTTAACGTAAAGTGTAGGTTCACTGGGGCTTCTCTCAAATCCACATAAGATGAGGTATGCATCAATTTCTTCGTATCAAGCCCTTGGTGCCTTCTTCAGGCCATATAATGCCTTCCTTAACTTATAAACCTTTTCTTCTGCATTTTGAATTACAAAACCTTCAGGTTGGTCTACATAGACCTCCTCATGTAGATTTCCATTTAAGAAGGTAGATTTGACATCAAGTTGGAACAATCTCCAACCTTTCTGAGCTGCAAGAGCTATTAATGTCCTAATAGTATCCATCCTTGCTACAGGAGCGTAGGTCTCATTGAAATCCACTACGGGCTTTTGAGAATATCCCTTAGCAACTAGTCTTGCCTTGTGTTTTTGTATAGAACCATCAAGATTGAGTTTGGTCTTATATACCCATTTAACTCCAATGACCGGCATGGATGTAGGTCTGTCTACCAATTCCCAAGTTTCATTCTTTTCTATCATGGAGATCTCATTATCCATAGCTGCCTGCCATGCTTTATCTTTTGTAGCTTCTTGATAATTTTCTAGTTCTATAATGCACATGTTGCACCTTGCATAGATATTAGTCAAGCTTCTTAGCTTAACCGGTGTAGACGTAGGAGTTGATGAATTCTAGACCCCTAAGCTTGAATCTTGTGTTCCAGTAGTATCCTCACTTTGCATTTGATCTGAAGCAGGTGTTAATTCCACTTGCTCAGTGATTTTATCATTGATCTCAACATTCAGTGAAACTGAAATAGGCATTTCCCTTTGTGTTTCCCAATTCCAAGCTGAGTTCTCATAAAAAACGACACTTCTAGACAGTATTACTTTCTTGGAATTTAGGTCATACATTCTATACCCCTTCTCACATTTCCCATACCCAATAATGATTCCCTAAGTTGCAGATTCCTCCAATTTGTGCCTCAGTTGACTTGGCATGTGATAGTAGCATATAGAACCAAAGACCCTCAAGTGTTTTACTCCCGACTTCCTACCACTAAAGGCTTCAAAAGGTGTTACTTCATGAAGTGATCTGGTAGGACATCGATTAAGAATGTAGACTGCAGTTGTTACTACTTCACCCCATAAATTATATGGTAAATGCTTCTCATGAATCATAGCCTTTGCCATCTCAACAACTGTCATATTCTTCCTCTCAGCCATTCCATTTTGCTGAAGGGAATAAGCAATTGTGAGTTGTCTTTCCAAACCAACATCTTCACAAAATTTCAAAAACTCAGTGGAGGTGTATTATCCCCCTCTATCACTCCTCAACTTCTTGATTTTGAATCCATTTTGTAGTTCTACCATGGCCTTAAACTTCTTGAAGGTATTGAAAACTTTAGATTTCAAATTCATCAGGTATACCTAGCACATCCTGGTGCAATTATCAATGAAGGTTAGGAAGTATTTGTTCCTTCCTATGGTAGAGACTTGCATTGGTCCACATACATCGCTATGGATCAATTATAAAGGTACAATGGTTCTCCATGCTTTCTCTTTGTCAAATGCCTCTCTGTAAGCTTTAGCCATAGCACACCCTTCACAAACTTTGGATGTATCTTTTATCTCAGGTAGCCCATAAACCATTTCCTTTTGTTGCAGAGGTTTTAGACCTTGGAAATTTAGATGCCCAAATCTCTTATGACAATTCTAGATGGTCTCTTCAACAGTTTCTCTTCTAGCTACTTCATTTCCAAATTCAAGTGTCATAGGGAAACACCTATTGCTGGTCATTTGCACCTTTGCCAAAAGGTTCTCAAAGGTTCTGTCATCAAAGATATCCACCTGATAATCCCCAAATATCAAGAAGTACCCATGTTCAACCATTTGGCCTACACTTAAGAGGTTTTCATCTAGTCATGGCACTAGCATGACCTCTTTTATGTATCTTTTTCCTTGTATGGTGTCAATAACTAATGTTCCCTTTCCAACAGCTTGAACTAGGTCACCAGTACCCATCTTAACTTTGGCTGTCACATTTCTGTTCACTTCAATAAAGAGGGATTCATTGACAGTCATATGATTGCTACATGCACTGTCCACATACAATACACTAGAATTTTTCACCACAGAGGCTGAGTGACAAGCGTAAAACATAGTTCCCTCTTCCTTTACTTCATTTGCATAATTTGCTGTAGGTACAATTTTGCTTCTGCAGTCCTTTGCCAAGTGACCAAATTTGTCACATTTATGGCACTTGGGTTTTCCCTTAAACCAACAGGTTCCGTAATGCAGTTTGTTGCAGTGAACACATGAAGTCTTTGTTCCTTCACCTTGATTCTCCTTCTTTGTGACATTTACAGGTTTTACATGCACTTTCTTGCCTTTATTCTTCCAGTTGTTCTTGAATTTTGAGCTACCCCCATATGAGGAACTTAGTCCTTCTCTGGGATTGATAATCAAGGATGAAAAAGCTTTCTCTGAACCATAGTCAGCATGCCTTTATAGTCTTTGTTCATATGACTTCAAGGAACCCACAACTTCTTGCACAGTATTTATATCTGTGTCTTTGGTTTCCTCTATAAGTTCTGCAATCGAAGTTGAGGGCAGCCATCACAAGCTCTCGATCCAAGTTCATCTCGACAATCGAGAGTTTGATGGCATAAAAAATGCCAAGAAATCTCCACTCATCACCAAAGTATGGCTCCATTCGAGTGACCTAGGTAGCCCATGTTACAGTGGTCGAAGGTCAGACACCTTGGGGTTTGGTCGATTCCCATTTCGACCAATCATACCCTTGGAACAAAGGTTTCAAGCAGTGAATCTTCAGCATTTTAGTGATGGCTTCTGGGATGTCATCCTTGAAAAGTGGGCCAAAGGTTTAGTGGGAAGCATTTGGCTCATCCTTGAATCGGATGGTTTTGATAGTATTCCGATCAGTGATGTTGCGACACTTATCGCACTCCTTGGTAAATTTGGAAATAAAAGTATTGGCAGCCATTGATGATGATGAAGGTTTTCTGGGTTTCAAAGTATGGCTTTTTTTCTGGGTTTAAGAGCAAATGGCAAGATATTTGAGAGCGTGAAAATCTGAATAAAGGAGAGCTGGGTATTTATAGGCATTTAGGAAGAAGATCAACAGTTTAATTTTAAAAGAATAAGGGATATATTCAACCACAATATTATGTAATCACGATGGATATTCAGAGAATCTAGATGAAGAGGCTGAAAAACTCACGAATTGAGGATGCATGATTACATGTGATGACGAGTTTTATGACGAAGGGACATTTCAGTGCTTGCACGACTCAGGGATGCAAAAAATGCTCGTGAATCAAGGCTGCACAATTGCATATGATGGCGAGTTTATGGCGAAACAACGTTTTAGTGTCTGCACGCCTTATGAGTCATTATTAGGGGACAAACATGCTAAGAAGATGCCATGTGGCAGGGAATCTAACATGACTGAGATCGTGCAATCATGCTCCATAAATGCGCTTGAGTGGTTGGGGGATTTGAGGTTTCTTGGCGTTCGTTAGGAATATGTTAAGGATTTGATTTCGCTTTTTCAAGGTCGAAGTTCGGCCAAGATTTGTTGGCTGAAGACTTCAGAAGCGAGGGGGCAATGTTTGGGCCCAAAATATTATTTTGGGCCGAGCTAGGAGTTGTTCTCGGCCCAGTAATCTTCTTCTAGAATTATCATAGGCCGTCTAGTCATTGTGAGTCATCCAGTCAGGATTGGCCGAATCCTATTGCAAGAAGGATTGGTTTAGATAAGGATAGAGTAGTCAAGACTTAGTGCAATGAGGAGTCTTAAGAGGCTAAGGATGTTGAGACTTAGGAGATGAATCTGGTTTGATGATTAGCTTGGTTCAAAGTTCTTTTGGAGTTAGGATTGGCCGAAACCTAATCAGATTAGGTTGTGAAGTTCTAATCCGAGTATGATTTTAACCCCACTATGAAGGGTTTCGCTACTATAAATAGAGGAGGGAGCATACATTCAAAGCCCCTTCAATTGAATACACAAACTGCCCTGCGTGAGAACATCGAGAAAAATGCTCTTCTCCCATCATAACTTATTTTAAGTTTGTCAAAAATTGTTGGATTAGGAATTTTTGACGGATTATCCCGTTCACTATTCCAAGCATCTAGCCCTCACTTAAACAATGCCGACCCCAAAGTTTCAAGAGCTAATGGAAGGCCTCCAGAATGATTAATGAAATACTTGGAAAGTTCCAAAAAATCTTCCTCAGGTTGGTCTTTTTGAAAGGCATGTTGGCTAAAGAGCTCAAGTCCTTCGACATCATTCAACCCCTGCACCTTATATGATGTTGCTATACCATGTTGGACTAGCAAACGCTGATTCCTAATTGTAATGATAATTCTACTCCCCATACCAACTAACCTTGATTTCTAGCCAATACTTGGAGTTGCTTTAATTCATCCACGTCATCAAGTACGAGAAGAACCTTTTTATTCTGCAAGAACTTCTCAGTGAGAATGTTTACATGCTCTTCATCCCAAATTTCTGCGATCCTGTAGAATTTTTTATGTGTATTTCATATCAAAACAATTACAAGATGAAACATTATATAGGAAAAGAAAGAGAACATAAGCCTAACTTGCCTAACTTGCCTAATTTCCTAACTTGCCTAACTTGCCTAATTTACACAAAGAAGGTTGACTAGCCTAACTTCACTAGTCATCCAACATGTTTATTTCATGCATGCATTTTAACAAAAGATATGACTTGCATGCATTCCAACACTCCCCCTCAAGCTGGATCGAGGGGATTCCTTGAGCCAAGCTTGGACAGAATGCGCATGAACTGAACCGTAGGAAGAGGTTTAGTAAAAATAACGCTTTGCTTCTTGCTGCGCCATGTTACCAAATTCCCACTTGAAATGGCTTCGTGCCGCAAACAAACAGTAATGGCTTCGTGCCGCAAACAAACAAACTTGAAATGGCTTCGTGCCGCAAACAAAGAATAATGGCTGGCTTCGTGCCGCAAACAAAGA